GTATTATGAATAAAGCTGCTATAAACATTTGAGCAGGTTTTTGTGTGGACATAAGTTTCAAATCAGTTGGTTAAATACCTAGGAGCCTGAGGTCTGGGCCATATGGTAAGATTATTAGAAATATTATCCATTTATATTTATTGTGATCACATTTTAGATTTATTTCTAACATCTTATTCTGGACTTTATATGGTTCTGCCTTTTGTTTCTTTTTATTCTTCCTTCTGGTCTTCTTTTGAATTAACTGTTTCCCCTCTCACCTCCACTACTTTAAAAGTTATACTCTTTTTCTTTTACTGTTACTTTGAATAAAATATTTTTTACATGCATATCTATGCCAATATCTTGAATACTTTTTAAGGGTCTAGGAACATTTGAACTCCCATTACACCTTCTTCAACTTGAATGCTATTTTTTCCTGTTTTTCAGTTCTGTCTTGCTCTTAATGTCACAAACAAGACATCATCTGCATTGTTTTGTCAGGTCAATGTTCTTTTCAGATTTACTCATGTTTTTGGTCACCATCCTTTCTTGAACCTCAGACCTTTCGTCAAATCCATTGTCCTTCTACACAAACTTAATCTTCTAAATTTCATTTAGTGAGAGTCTATTGGTTACAAACTTACTCATTCTTTGTCTGAAATGTCTGTTTCATCCTCGTTCCTAAAATACAGCTTCACCGGGTATTAACAATTCTTGGTTAACAGTTTTTGTTGTTGTCTTCCCTAGACCACTGAAGATACTGTTCTGGTCTTCCAGCTCTCATTGCTGCTGTTGAGATGTCAGTAAGGCTTACTGCTATTGTGTTGTACGTAATCTTACTTTTCTCACTGATTACTTTTACAGATTTCTCTCATATTCTGCAGAGGTGTGGATTTATTTTACTTAACTCACTTGGGATTGGTATAGCTTTCTAAATCTGAGGGTTGGTGTCTTTCATCAATTCTGGAAAATTTTTCTTTATCTTTTCAAATATTGCCTATTTCCAATTCTCTCCTAAAACTCTAAGAGACATGTTAGACCTCAGCCTCTCCTCCACATCTCTTAACCTAACTGTCATATTTCTACCTATTCATCTCTGTGTGCTGCCTCCTGGGTGATTATTTGGCTCTATTTTCCAGTTCATTAATTCTCTCTTCCAGTGGTTATTTTCATAAAAGATTTACTTTTCTACAAGGAACTCTTGTTCTTTATTTATTTAAAATGTATTCATCCTATATTTTATATCTGAAAATTCCACTATCCTAAGTCTTTGCAGGTCTGATCATACTGTCTGTTTTCTGCTGGCTTCTGTTCAGGATGCCTTATTTGAGGCATCCTGCGATTTTGTGGGTTTGTGATTTATGACTGTGAGCTCACGCTCCTTGGAGCTTTACTATGGAGCATGTGTGAGGACTAAAGCTGTATTCTAGTGTGGGTATGCAGTTGCTTTGGTTCAGGGGCATTACCAACTTAGGATCCCTTTAAGAACTTGGCTCGAGAAATATTTAGACCACATGTACCATGAGAATTCAAACTGCAAACCCATGTGAGGGAAGTCTTGTAAGCGACTTCCTAGGGACAACTGTGTTCTTCTTCTTTCCAACTAGTGCCAGTTCCCCCAATACTCAAGGCAGTCCTTTGAGATTCCAGCTGTCTGCAAGGCGATCTCCTATTAAGACTCCCAACTTTGGTGCCCCCCAGGACTATCTCCTGCCACCTGTACCCCACATTCTAAGGAAGCTCGGCACCACTGAGATTTGGGATGAGCCCCTGGGGAGAAAACATGCCGAGGGCCTGCTTCTCTCTGGAGTTTTGTTCTCACTTCGTTCTCGGCCTCTGAGAACACCTCCCTTTCTTGCCAGCTCAGTGGCACATTTAAGAACAGTAAAAAAAAGTTTAATCCAACATTTTGAGTTATTACCAGGTGGGTTGTTCAGAGTATCTAGTCCTCCACACACTGCAAATGGACGTCCTAAAGTCTGATTCCTGAAGCTCCCGAAAGGCAGTGATGATGAGGTTGAGGCAGGTGACATAGAGTGCTCTGTTTGTCAAGCAATTGGAAAGTGGGGCAAAGAAAGCTACAATGGTGGAGGTTTTCTTTGGTGATGGGAGGGTGGCTTTTTCAGAAAATGCATCAAGTGCTACTAAGAGAGGGCAGTTTGTTAAGATGGAAGTTACTTCTTTCCAATAGAAGTGCAGAGAGGGTAGTCAAGAGCCGAGTAGTGGCTCCACAATGTCATCAGGAATATTACTCCCACTGCTTTGCCTCTATAAAGATACCCTATGGCCCAAGTAGGCTGCAATCACATCCACATTCAGTCAGAAAGCAGGAGGTCCAGGCCCAAAAGGGCACATGCCAGTTGTCTGCCCCTCTTGAGAAGCCTGCCCAGAACTCCCAGCCAACCTCTGCCCCCCTCCCTCTGGCAATCCGTAGCTCCAAGGGAGGCTGGGGGTTTAATCTTCCAGCTGGTCCACTGCTGCTCGAATAGAACTGGAGAATCCTGGATACTTGACAGGCAGGCAGCAGTCTCTACCACAGGACCTAAACACGCTTACTGCCTGAGGCCGCACAGCAGGGAGAGGCTGAAATCAAGAAGGTGATTTACCGGAACAGAGTCCTAAACAATGTGGGAGAGTCTAAAGCACAGAGGGAGGACGCAGACTTGGAGAGAAGACACATCTTCACTTGAGACTGAACGGAACAGAAAGAGAAGACAAGCCGCTGTGCAGGTATGGGGCGGTGAGACCGGAAGCCGAGGGGTTCCTTGTAGCTCACAGTGGCAAGGTCTCCTGGAGGTCGGTCACTGAGTGTAGGGGCAGCATGCAGAGGGTGGAAAGCTTGGACCATCTGCTGTGCGAACGGAAATATGAAGAATGCATGTTGAAAGCCACCTGTCAAAAAAGGTTATATTCTTAACAACCGGCTTCCAAAAGCAGGACAGAATCACTTTCATAGGAACACGTTTCTAAAGTAGGTAACACAGTCACGACACATTTGGCTGGTTACACTTGAAAAGCACTGTGTCAAAATTTGGGCTCGCTATGTAAGAAAACTAAATTAAAGCTGGAGGTAATAAATGACAAAAAAAATTTAGGCACTGGTGACAGAGGACACCTTTCTAACAGCCCTTCCACATCTCTCACACAGCGCCTCTCCCATCCAATACAACTTCTCGCAAGTACCTGATCCCCGGAAGCCGCTCTGTGGTAGGTCTCTGCCTAAGCAACGGTCTGCAACCTCGGTGAGTGAGAATGTGAATTTAGGTCTGCAATGAGCTAGGTGTATAACCTAGCTACATCCTTTTCCTCCTCTACAAATAAGAAAATATGGAAGCATCAATTGTATTTGACTATATAGTCTTACTCCATTTCCCTTCCCCCATTTACTATCCCAGCTTTCTGGAAGTTGGCTCACTTAAGAAAGGGCTCCCCGGCACTGACTGAACACCCTCCTCCATCACGCTTTCCTCCAAATACCAGAAGACAGACTCCAGGTATCTTTCTTATCTGCTTTCCCCTGGTCACTGTGTGTTTCTGCTGTGGAATTAGATGAACTCAACACCTAACAGGCAAGTTTGCATCACCTCTGTCACGTCACGGATGAAAGAGAAAGAAGTTAATGGTAAATATTCCAGGGCAGTCTCCCAGAATGAACTCACCAGGAGAAACGTGCTCAGGTTCTAAACCACAATCCTAATTTTAGGATAGAGATGCTTCTCTCTCCCTCTTTTTAAATCAAGTTCAGTCAGCATGCCTAAACAGCTGCCTGGGGCCTGGGTGCCAGACAGGGCTCATTAACCAAGTCCGTGGACACCTGAGCTTTTGTTGAGTTCAAACTAAGCGTCTGAGTCTGGCACGGAGGCAAGATCACAAGGCAGTTTTCAGAGTTACACAGATCAGAGGCAAAGTGAATATTTAGAATTACATCCTGAATGGGCTCCACAGTGGAATAATGCGGACGCTGCCTCCCCACCACCCTCAAGCACAGCTCGTCTCTCTTCCTGGGGAGCTGCGTGCACTGCGGCTCCCAGGCAAACGCAGCACCCAGGCTTTTCCGCTTTGTTCTTCCCTCAGCACCTCATCGCACTGCCAGCTAACAGACAATCTCAGAAGGCAGTTCTCCCACAAAACCCATGGGGCCAGCACAGAAATGATAGAACTGAGCAACCTCGTTTCAACCCTGCAACTAAAACGTCATGAAAAACCCTTTAAAGTAAACCGTTACAGAGTATGTTTTTATCAGCAGCGCTGGCTCTCATGTGTGTAGAAAAACAAATATCCACCAACACAGACACTTCTGACAGATAAAATGGGTCACGGAGGCTTGACATTCTTTGAATTAGAGCAAAAATAAATTGTACAATAACCTCAAGGAACTCTGTACCCTCTCTGATTCATATTTTTAAGATTCAAACCAGCATTTAGTACTACATCATTCAACACGAATATTAGGGAATATTTTCCCTAATTTTTCTGACAATGTCAACTTGACAAGAAGGACTCTGGTTCAGAAAACACTTTGATACATTTTTGATTGACTGAGATACAGTTTACCTATTTATGTGTGTGCTGGTATCTACCTATTTCCAAAAAAAGAATTTAAGGTGGATTTCTACAGTAATTGAAATCACCTGACATCTCAAGAGTCTGAGACAAAAAACCATTTTAACTAGAAAAAAGTATTCTGGCCCAAAGGGCAGTAAATTCTAATCTTTCAGTTATTGCTTTGATAAGAATGTTTGTTTCATAAAAATTATTACCTATTCCTTCTAAATAGGATAAATAACATTTTTTCCTATCAATCATTCCTTTGAGCTAATAATCCTGTTGCTACCTTTATAAAAGAATAAAAATAAAGAATAATGTGACTGCCAAGTTTAGTTTGTAGTTTTTCCACTGTATAATTTATTCAAATTATTAAAAAACTCTATATTCCTTTTTATTTAGTTATATGTGAACAAATAGTGAATACATAGTTTTACAGCTTAGTTAAAATATAAGAGAAGAAAACATACACATTTGCCGTACCAATAGCTCGTTTTTATTCTTTTTTAAGGAAATGTTATTAATTTAAAAAGAGAGTTCCAGGAAATTTAATAGGATTCCCAGCAATGATTATTTCTGAAATCCATGAGATTTGAAACATAATTATAAAAGGCTAAAAACCAAAGGATACACTCCTTTTTAAAAAAATGAAGATGACCTGTCACATCAAGACAGTCCGGCGTGTCCCTGCGGCTGCAGCCTTAGTCATCCTCAGAATCGCTGTCTCTCCTCGTGGGGACGGAGCACCGCACTGAGGACAGCAAGGCGTCTTCAATTGGCTTCTTAGGGTTTTCCTCCAGGTCTGTCTTGATGGCTCCAGACTCAGACAATTTCCACTCCAACTCTGCATGACAAAGAAAGAGCAAATCCCCTAAGACACAGTGCACAGGGGCCCTCACCCTCAAGTCCAATAAGCCATGTTTTTTTCTAAGCTCAAATTACAATTATCAGCATTTGATGGCAATTTAATTTTAGTGCCATAATTTTAAGGTAGGTACCTAGAAGGAAAAAAATCAGACTTTTAGGAAGTAAAACAAAAATACTTTCAAATACTTTTTCAGAAGATGAAATCAAATGAGATATTACATACATTTGAAACTACATGGTAATTAAAATAAAAAACAGGGGCCAGTCCCGTGGCTGAGTGGTTAAGTTCATGCGCTCAACTTCGGCGGCCCAGGGTTTCACTGGTTCGGATCCTGGGCAGGGACATGGCACCACTTGTCAGGCCACATTGAAGCAGCGTCCCACAGGCCACAACGAGAAGGACACACAACTAAAAAATATACAACTATGTACTGGGGGGATTTGCGAAGAAAAAGCAGAAAAGGAAAAAAAAAAAAAAAGAAGACTGGCAACAGTTGTTAGCTCAGGTGCCAACTTTTAAAAAATAAAATAAAATAAGAAACAAAGACTAAACTTGTCTTCTAACAACTAGTTTTCCAACTTGCACAATTTCCCAGGAAAGAAATCCGCATAGAACGTTTACAGGAAACACTTTTCACAGTCTTACTGGCAATCTAATCATTAAATCTAATTTTAGTTAACAAAAGGAAATTCTTAAGCCTCATGTCCAATATCTCAATCTATTAGAGTCAAAGGATGAATGTATGATGACATTCTAGAAGCGATGCATTTGTTCCAAGTAAAAAATAAAAAAGACCAGAAAATAAAGAGCGATTGACTATAATTCCCGTATTTCATTCTCTTATAATTACTGAAACTCCACATGGATGTGAGACCTCGTGAAGCAAAATCAAGTGATGTGTTTTTCCACTGCAGAGAAGACCCTGGGCAGAACTGAGGCCCCATGTGAGAGATTCCACAACAAAGAGCCTGCTTTAAAAGTGAGGCTCTGCTAATGAGCTACTTCCGCAGACTCTGACAACTCATGCTCCTGAAGTCACATTAATTTAAAGTGCTCCACAGAGATGACCACCACCAGTATTTTCAGCTCTGGGTACCTCAGCTGAATGTTATAATTCAACAAATTTCTTACCAAAAAAATCTTAAGATTTCTGATTCTGGATTCAAGAATATGTTTAGACCCCCACACACGTACATACGTCTAAGTGCATGTATTTAACGTTATTGTTCACTTATATGCAGTAATCACTGTTTTATAAGTTTACTAATCCTCAAAGACTTCTCCTAGAAATAAAGACTGTAACTACTATTGTACACCTCTCTCTCCCCTCGTGGTACGTTCAAAAGGACCAAAATAAGATGCAAAATATATTTAGTTTGAAACGCTGTACGCCTCTGAAGACTGGAATAGTGTGTAACTGATGTAATATTTGTGTGTGTGTGTGTTTATACTTTTCCCAGATCAATACCTTATATAAGAAGTTATATAAAGTAGTATATAAAGTCATATTTTAACATATGTTTTTAAATACTACTAAAGCATAGTTGGACATATTATTTCAATAAAGAGATAAAGAATTTGACTTAGCAGGATGCCTCGGGCCTCAGGTTCTCTCTTTCACGTCATGTATGTCTGTGTAGTTTGACACCTCCGTGTGTAACAGGTGGTGGAAAGGAATACAAAGACACATCCTTTAGGAGTTAAGAGGCAGAATAAACTTTTGATTTAATTTAAAAGCTACTAAGCTACTCAACTGAGAAAATATTTCTATAGAGATTTATATATATACACATAATATATACAGATAAGATTCTGTCACTAATTTGTTCATATGAATTAAATAAAACATGAACGATGTGATCTTCAGCTACAACTTAAAACATATTCAACTGTAGGGGCAAATAAAACATATTAGACGTTGATTTTAAATATATATATTTTAAAGTCCATGTGCCCTGTCTTAACTGAGAATTATGAGAGTCCAGCTGTAAGTGCCCCAATGACTTGTCTAAGATGAGAGATTAAATGTGCTTCTTCCCTTTTAACAATCACTCACACAGGACACAGGGGCAAAGGTGAATTTGACAAATCATCGTAACACATGTCTAGGAAACAGGCACCCTCTTCAAGAGAAATATCCCCTCGCCATCTCTACGCACTGGCATCACTCACGTGCCCTGGACTATCTCAAAGAGGCCCTTACCATCTACTGTCAGGTTCATGCCACCAAACACCAGAGGTCCAATAAACTGAGCCTTGATATCACCTTCAAGGTAAACAAATACCGTGGGCAGGTTCTTATCAGGATAATTGGGTATGCAGGTTGTTGAAATGGCTTTGATAAACTTGACATCAGGAAACTTCCTGGCAAGTGCACTGAAGTGCTGATTTATCAGGGCGCAGAGGGGAATCCTATAAAATAGAAATAGGAAACAATGTGAGAGGGGAATCCTGTAAAACAGAAACAGAAGCAATCGTGATTCTGCATTCAGAGACAGAAGAAAGCTCAACTACCCTCCACCCTACATAAAACCTCATAATAGCTTCACAAGTGATTCTGCCACTCCAGCCAAGAGGAATTAACATTTTAAAAAAACTTTCTACTACGTTCAAGGAAAGCGAAGAACTCGAAATCCAAAGTCCAATTTAATTTGATCCAACAATATGTCAGAAAAGCAGCTTCAATGTAGAGATAATTGTTATGCCCTTCTATATGAGAGAACATTCAGGATTTAGAAGGTGTGAAACAGGTCAGAAAGCATTTCCTGCTTTAAAGAAACTACCACACCAGCGCTTGACTGCACAGTACGGAGAACAGACCGGAGGCGAGGAACACTGAGGACCACTGCCTCTCTCACTGTGACAATGATTATAAAGGTCTCCCGCATCATGAACAAGAGGGATTCATTACACGGAATTCTGAAACGCCAGAGTTTCCCTAGAGGGATAAATAACAGGCACTCCTTTTCAATAAAAGCCAAGTCTTCACTGCCACACTGTAACAAAGGCATTCGTATTAGCCACAAATACTAATGTGAAAGCCTGAAGACAAAAATTAGGCTTTAAGGTTTTGGCAAATCAGCGACGAAAACACATAAACAGTAGTAAAAATCCCTCCAATGTGGATTAAGCCCAAGATGGTCGAGACATAAATTCGGGTTAACATTTAAAGACAGTGATAAGATCAGCTCACCCTTGTTTGTAGAGGTGCAAGATGACCCACAAGCCCTCACCGGCTTTCGTAACTTCTTGAACATAATCCTTTCCTGAGATCTCCAAAACTTCTCCAAATTTATTCTTTAATTTAGTTGCTTTCCACTCAGCCAGTCTTTGCTGTCTGCACAACAGGAGAGAGAGACATCTTACACACACACGCATGTGCACACACACGCACCTTTCAGACAGCAACTTTTATAAAGGTCCAGGTCTATTTATTTGCTCCATGGCAAAGTCTAAGACCAGAAATCTCTAACATTATTATTTAATTATAGTCCTTTCCTAATGTTATCTCAGTCAGAAAGTTAATTTTTCAAAGGGCACATATTTTAGTGCCACACAAAAAAATCGAACAGTCCCTCTGGGCGGCACTAACCTGTACATTTCAATAGCACGTTCGTCCTCCTCATTAAATTCATCTTCATTGTCCTCCAGTTCTTCCAAAGTCATGTCTTCATACGTTTTCACTGAATGTAGTTACATTAGCAAAAACCGAAAAATTTAAAAGATAAACATGCTATTTTTTTTCCTTCGCTTTTCTCCTAAAGATGTGCATGCAACACCAAAAGACCCCCAGCCCACCAAAACCTAAATAAAAAGTACTTTAGGTATTACACTAGGAAATAAGAAGTTGAGGGTGTTTTAAAAAGAGAGAACCATGTTGGTATCTGTGCGCCTGACTCTCTTACCGCCACACAATAACAAGGACATGAATGAGACGTTTCCCCAGTCTATGAAACCAGAGAGCTGTGTCTGCCTGAACTCAGCTGGTCTGATCTTCAAGCACGGGCACGGACTGGGGTGTCACCAGTTCTCATATCTCTGAGCAGGTGGGAGGATACCAGTGGGTGCCCCCCCCGCCAGCACACCCTTCTAGAGTTAAAGCGATTATCACGCCATTGCTTGCTCTTTTCCTGAGAGCGGTAGGCAGCTCTACCTTTTCTTTTACCCAATGGCTAAAAAATGTGTATTTTGTTTTTATTGCCATAAACACTTGCTTCCTGACATCAAATCAGGCTTTTGTCCCCTGAACCCCACCCCATCACTACACAAAACTGCTCTTATCAAGGTCAACAATGACCCTGACTTCTTCACTGCTGAGTGAGCGGCATTCGATCCAGCCCATCCTGCCTCCTTTGTGCAAGGCCGTCCTTCCAGGCGCCTCCTCGCCTCCTTCCTCTACGGCCACCCCTCCTTTAGACCCTAAGCCGACTGACCCCTTTTCTTCCTTATCTATACCCACTCCCTTGGTGGCCGCATCTCACAGCTTTAAATACTGCCAATATGCTGACAACTCCCAAATCTATGCCTCCAGCCCCTGTTTCTCTGATTTGGAGAAAGACACCCAACTGTCCACTTACCATCTCTATTTGCCTAATAAAAATCTCACAAGAGATGAGCCATCCTCATCCCAGTTGGTGTAACTCCATCCTTTGGGCGCGAAGCCTTGCAGTCACCCAGACTTTCTCTCACGCCCCTCAGAGGCTCCATCAGCAAACCCTGTTGGCCCCACCTTCAAAATATATCCAGATCTGACCACTTCTCACCACTTCCACTGCCACCACACTGGTCCAAGCCAATGGTATCTCTTGCCTGAATGACTGTAGTAGTTTCCAGACTAGTCCTCCTACTTCCTGCCTTGCCCCCCACAGTCCATGCTCACTAAGGCAGCAGCAGGATGGTGCTGTCAACATGGCGGGCACATCACCACTCTGTTCACACCTCCAACAACTTTCACCGTAGTAGGTGTAAAGCCAAGGACACTCCTAGAAGCTACAAGGTCCTGAATGGTTTGACCCCTAGTCGCCTCTCTGACCTCACTACTTCTCTCTCGCAGTCACACTGACTTCCTCAGGGATGCCCCAACGTGCTTTTCACCTGCTAAAGTAGCTCGGTTCACCTCCCTCAGGTGACCCAACGTCATCCCCATGAGGCCCTCTCTGACCCCATCCAGAATTATACTCACCCCTCCAGCCCTTTCTAGGCCCTTTCCCTGCCATATTTTCCTACATTTCACCTATGTATTACTTGTTCTCCTCTCCCCCACTAGAATGGAAGTTCCACGAGGACAGGGATTTTCGTCTGGCCTGTATGCAGCTACACCCCACTGCCTAGAGCAGCACCTGGCACCCAGTCATCTTCCAGTAAAGGTTCGCTGGATAAATGTTTGTAATAAACCTTTCTCCAAATTAGCTCCAACGTGTAAATGGGACAAAAGTACTAGCCTCTGTGATCAACACTTCTCAAACGTTGCTGTGACTCAGAAAGCCTTTGGGCACTTGTGTAAATGCAGATTCCTGGGCCCCGCCCCCGGAGATTCGGATTCAGTAGGGGCTGGGTTTTTACAGGCACCCCAGGGACTCTGATCCAGGAGGTACAGCTCCTTTGAGAAAACTCCTCTCCCAGACCCTACACATTGCAAACATGCTGTGCTTTCCCAAATTAAGCCATTTTAATATTCTAAAACCACAAAGATAATAAAGGATAAGCTCAGGAGAATATGAACATCAAAACTTTGAGCAAATTTTCATGACGTTATCCAAAGCGAATCAGAGACCAGAAATTCAAGACTCAGAAATACTTTCTTCAGGATTATCACGTGCGCCTCTGACACAGACTAGGAATTATGGAAATGAAGGGAGCCTCTGATGTCCCCCTAAGTCTGTGGCCCAGAAAGGTGAAGGCCAGAGACATCCTGTGACTCGAATGAGTTCCCACAGTGTCCGATCCAGCACTCCAAGCCCTGGCTCCTGCCTCCTGCTCAGAGGGTCCTTCTACCAAAGCAGTCAGAGGCTTAGACAGCTGTCTCCTAACCCAGACAGACACAGAACAAATAAGGAATCACCCGCTGACTGCTCACCAATTGACTGCTGAAGGACTCGCTGCTCCTCCTCCTCTTCAGCCTTCTTTTCCAATTCTTTCAAACTTTCCTTTGAGGGCAGGATGCCCTTTTTTCGTAAGATGTCATTCCACTCAGTGTCTGCGTTGGGGTCCTAGAGCAGGTGGACCGAGGATACCATGAGTGCAAAGCCCAGTATGGAAGGTGCCATGTTGGGCAAGGGGTCAAATGGGAAAGGTGTTGGGAAGAAGGATTCAAGCCAAATTATTTTGTGGCCTATTTCTGAGAAAGTATCAAAAGACCCAGAGCCCCTGTTCCATTCTTCTCGTCCTCCACTCCATCCCCCACTGAGGAGCTAGTCTTGGGGCAAAAATCAGGATATGACACACAGATTGGCATCAATGCTGATACCAAGGCTCTGAGCTGGTTTCTGTTCAATTATTTTTATTAATGACTTGGAGTGATTCATCCAACAGATATTTACTAAGTTCCTACTATATGTAAATTATTGTCCTAGATGGTAGGGAAGCATGGTGAATGCCAGTCACCTTTTTATAGTCGAGAGGAAGAGACAGACAATGCACAATTAAACATACAAATAGATATATACTACAAACTGTGGCAAATACACTGACTAACAGGCTGCTGACCTAGAGAGTTACAGGCGGCCTGCATTCCACAGGATGGGCAGGGACGTTCTCTCAGAAGAGGTGACAATTTACCATCATGGGAGGATGAGAAGGAACCAGACATCAGGAGAATTTAGGAAGTCATTTTCCAGGCAGAAGGACCAGCACGTGCACAGGACCCAAGAGCGGGGATACTGAGCATGGCCAAGTTCTAAGCGGCTGCAGTAGAATCTGAGAGGGCGGAGAGCCCGATGCCAGGCTGACAGATTCTCCGATGGCCGAACCCCAGAGGAAGAGCTCAGACCCCATGCAACAGCTCACAAAAGCTGACACTTACCAAGTACCAGGTGCTGAGCACTCTCCCAAGCCCTTTACCTGTGTCTACTTAGTTAACCCTCACAAGCCACAGAGAGGCGCGGCATCTAGGAAGACACTGCCTCGCTAGAACAGGTCAGATTTGCCAGGATCAAATGTCAGAAGGATAAATGTCACAGGGGGCTCTTAGCTCCAGAATGCAGCGGCCCAAACACTGGTTTTGCCTGGCTTGGCAGGAACTGCTAATGGACCCAATTTGGAACACGAAATCAAGGAGCCCTGTGGAAAGGGCGCTGGGACAAGGCTCCAGCCGTAGCCCCGTGTCACGGTCTTGCTGAGATACATCAAAAGAAAAACGATCAGAATCCTTTCAACGGAGTGGTCAGGGGAGGCCTCTGAAGAGGTGACATTTTTAAAAGGGACCTGAAGGATAGAGAATGTGCGGGAGGCCAGGGCAGCCCCGGGGCTCCTTCTTCACCATTTGAGGGGGTCTGGCTTGAGGCAGATTGCTGCATCTGCAGATGATCATCTTCTCCAGCCTCCAATACCTCCCGCCCCAACCAAACCCACACTAACCCCATGTGCTAGTTGTCACTGTCAGAATTCCTGGCCACAGCGTGATGCGGGAGGCAGCAGAATGACTTTTAAAGGAGGGTCCTTGGACAGTGACAAAATTTAGTTGTCACATACTTTGCTCGTAAAAGCATCCATCCACGGTGTCTTCATTCATCTTCTTTCACTTTTCTTTGGGTTTTAGTCAAATTCCATCAGCAAATTCCAAGTACAAAAGAACAAAACTAGGGGATTTGGTTTTATCCATTTTATGACAGTAACTGCGCAGAGGGACCCTTGAGCTGAGCTCTGGAAGCCAGGGAGCCCGAAAGAAGCGCACCTCCACCTGAAGACCAAAGTTAGGGGGAAGAGGGTGTAACTAACCCCACAAAGCTCGAAGAAGAGTCAGGAACACTGTTTCACGTTATGGGACCCCCAGGCGCGGCCCTTCACTGCTCCAAGCCTCAGTTCCCACATCTGTACAGGGGGTCCACAACACACCTGCTCAGGTGCTCACTAACAGAGTTAATAGTAGGAAGTAACTTTGTCAGGTGGGACGGGCGAGTCCTTCACAGGCCCCACGGGATCCTATCTCAAGGAGAGGCAGCGCGAAAGCACCGAGATTTGCGGGGCAGGACACAGAGGGGTAGGGACGCCCGGCCCGCAGGTCCCGACGGGACCACGCCCGCCCTCCCGCACTGCGCCTGCGCCCGGCCTCCACCCGCGTGGCCTCCCCCGTGCCAGCGGCGCCCGGCGCTTCCCGTAGGCCGGGCTGGGACAGTCCCCCATCGGCGAGGACCCAGTGGGGTAAACAAGCGGCCGCGGCCTCCAGGCCTCCCGCCCTCGGCTCGCTCACCTGCATCTTGTCTCAAATGCCTCCAGCCAAGCCGGCCGCAGCACCCCCGCCCCTCAGCGCTCTTCCGCGCACGCGCGCAGCCGCCGCCCCGCCTCTTCTCCCAGCGCGGCCTTAGCCCCGCCCCCAGGCGTGAGCGGGGCGGAGCCAGGGAGGACGCGGGGCCCCTGGGGCTGCGTGCGCTCCCCAGGGACAGGCGCGGAGGCTGTGCGCATGAGCGGGGCTGGAGACGCCTACTGTCTGTCCTTGCCGCCGCGTTCACGTGACCCAGAGCCAATCGCGGGCGCTACCGTATTAGGGCAGGTTTTCGGTCTGGGAGCGGCGGGGCCGGACGGAGGAGGTATGCGGTCCCCGTGCGCCCTCTCCAGCCGCAGGCCAATCGTGTAAAAGAGGTCTTGGCCCAAGATGTCAGGAATAGTATCTTTCAGTGACCCAATGTTACAATGAAAAATGATGCAGGGCCACCTCGAATTCACTCGCTATCATTTCAGCATCAGAGAAGGCAATTCATTCATAAGACGTATTTATTGAGGGCCTACTATGTGCCAGGCACTATTCTAGGCTCTGCGTATACGACAGTGGTCATGACAGAAAAACACCAGAAAGGCGAAAGTCATTTCACCTAGTTGAGCCCCAGGCGATCCATATTTGCAAAAGTGCTTAGCGCCATCAGGGGCACACAGAAGGCACTGAATAAAACTGAGCAGGGTCTGAATGGTACAATCCAGGCGCTGGGCTCCAGGCTTTTGTTTACGGAGCACTCCAAATTTGAGCTAAGAAAGCAGTGTCCCTCCCTGGACGCCTGGGCTGACTTGCCGCCTCGGGGCAACGAAGCGGCCGGAGAGAACACAAACCCACACATCTGTGGGGTAGGCGTAGGACTCCCAACGTTGGCTGCGTATTAGAAACACCTGGGAGGTTTCAAAAACTGCAACTAGCTACCCCGGAGCTCCATCTCCTGTCAAATTACATCCCTGGAGATGGGGGCTGAAACTTATTTTCTTAAAGATCCTCAGGTGTTGCGAATATGCATAACCATTAATATAGAGTGAATCAAATGATTCCTTGAGGGCAAGGAACTTTCACTTAATTTATAAGGCTCCTTAAGAGTTACCTAGCTCCTTCCCATAGAATTATAGGCCTCTTAAAGCATTTGTTTATTCATTTATCTAGCAGCACACTGAATGATTTTTCCCTGGTCTCACCATTAAAGTCAGGACCCAGACTAGTTCGGGTGGATTTGGCCCCATGCTAAGGTTTGCGTCCTCCGCAGCAGCAGTGTGGGTGCTCTTAGATCCTTTCCTGATTCCCAGCCTTAGCTATCTCCTGAGGCCCAAACTCACCTCCAATACATGATCCCTCTCTCTGGAGGAGATTAACAATCCAAAATCTCAAACTTTACTGCCTTTGCTCTGCAAGAAAGCTGCCTATCCCACTTTCGTCGAAGACTGGCGCTTTCCTCCTGTGCAGTCGGTCCCACCTCTGCAGAGACTCTGTTTTTCATTCCATCACTCTTGGCTCCGAAGAAAATAATTAGAGCTCAGGAGAAAAAAATAGAGCCATAAGAATTAGAAAAGAAAGGAAATGGAAAAAATATTTCCATTTGTGGATGATTTGATATGATTATCGTATTTGGAAAACCTTGGGAGAATCAAGGCTTAAATTCGTATTGACAATATGAGAATTCAATATAGGAGCAGGATATAAAATTAGCATACAAAAAATAGCCTTAGTCTGTATTTACAATAACACGCTACAGGACATAATGAACCCTGATTACAATAACAACAGAAAAGAAAAAAGCACTTAGGAATAAGCTCAAGAAGTGCACAGAAACCTACATGAGAAAAATTATAAAGCATTCCTGAAGATGCAAAAGTCAACTTGGACGAGAGGAAAGAAATCACTCATTTTTGGATAAGATGACTCAACTCACAGAGATGTCAATTTTCTCCAAGTTAATGTGTTAAAATTAACACAGTCTTATTTCAAAAACTCAACAAATTGTTTTCTGAGGCTAGAGAGGTTGGTTCTAAAGTTTTTTATGATAAAATAAACAAGGAGAATGGCAAACTGAGGAGCCCACCCTTGGCTTAGTGGTTAGGTTCCAGGGCTCTGCTTTGCAGAAGGTTGGCAGGTTGGGATCCCTGTGCTGACCTAGCACCACTCGTCAAGCCATGTTGTGGCGGCATCCCACATAAAAAAATAGAGGAAGATTGGCACAGATGTTAGTTCAGCCACAATCTTCCTCAAGGGAAAAGAGGAAGATTGGCAACAAACGTTAGCTCAGGATCAATCTTCCTCACACACACACACACACACACACACACAAAAGAATGGCAAACTGAGGGGACAGCTAACCCTACGAGATATTAAAACAGTTTGGTACTGATGCATGAATAGACAAATCGATCAATGGTGCAGCAGGTTCAGAACAAGTCTGGAAATAGAGCCAAGCACACAAACATTAGTGTATGCCCTAGAAGGCCTCTCAATCTGCCGAGGAGGGATGGGCTTTTTATCATAAATGGTGTTGGGACAATTGGATAGCCATTCGAAAATAAATAAAATTGGATACATGCTTCACAGTGTATATCAAATTAAAAGTTAAAAACTAAAAGTACTGGAAGAAAACGGGATAATTTCATTATAACCTAAAAATGGAAAAAACCTCTGATGATTATTACTCAAAATCCAGAAAGTCAAATGAAAGAAATGATGGATTTTACCACTAAAAATTTTTATTTTTGCATAAGAATAATGAATACAAGCATGCCAGCTTTGGTGTAAAATAAAAGGTTAAGTAAGAATACACATGCGTATTCATATCTGCTTAATTTTGCAAAAAGAATCACAGACAGAAGAAGTCAGAAATTAATGAAATAGCAAACATGGTGGTCAGGTGGGGTGAGAGGAGGGTGGGGATGAGGTGGTAGTGACAGAAAGTCGGGAGTGAGAATCCTCTGATAAACCTTTATTTAGGGGCAGATAAGTTTTGTGGGGCCCAAAACACATTCCATTTTGGAGGCCCTCTTTTAGAATACATCACTTATCTGAAGAAGAAAAAAAAAAAGCCCAAAATTCATAGAAATAAGAGATTAGATTTGTGGTTACCAGAGGTGGAGGGTGGGGAAAGGGGGAAATGGAGGAAGGTGATCAAAAGGTACGAACTTTCAGTTAAACGATAAATGAGTACTAGAGATGTGATGAACAACATGATGACTATAACTAACACTGTTGTATCATATACAGGAAAGTCAGCAAGAGAGTAAATCTTAAGAATTCTCATCAAAAGGAGAAATTTTTTTCCTTTTTTCTTTTCTTCTTTCTCTTCTTTTTATCATATCTAGTGAGAAGATGGATGTTAACTGAACCTATTGTGGTAATCATTTCACAATATGATATGGCAAGAATAGTAATTTTATTATGCTGTATTTCCTGTCTTTATAATTTGTGATACAATATAAACATTCAAAAAAGGGAGAACTCAAGTATAATTTCTGTGTTGAATAGACATCGACCTGTATAAATATTATGATGACATTTTGACCAAATAAAAAATAGAAAGTTAAAAAAAATACAAAATTATGAATATAAAAGTAGGCATGAAAGTGAATATTGATTTAGAATGGAAAAAGAAACGATTATAAATTGCCAATTTTAAAAGGCTGACAAAGTGGCCAGCCTGGTGGCATAGTGGTTAAATTCATGCACTCCACTTTGGCAGCCCTGGGTTTACGGGTTCCAATCCTGGGTGTGGACCTACACACTGCTTATTAAGCCATACTGTGGTGGCGTCCCACATACAAAATGGAGGAAGATTGGCATAGACGTTAGCTCAGGGTCAATCTTCCTTACCAAAAAAAAAAGAAAGAAAAAAAATTGACAAACATCACAAAATCTAGAAAAATAGCATAATATTTGTATTAATTAACTGCCTGACATGTCTATATGATATCATAGACTAACTTCTGGCTTGTATACATCAAGCCCGTCTCTTCTAGAACCTCATTCCAAGGTCAGAGCTCCATAGATTACAGTCATATCACTTTATGTTTTCTCGCCCTGCGACTTCATGTCGCATCACTGCGCAAGAGGCCAATGGCAGTATTCCTGCAAGTCCTTTCTACCCTGGATGGCCAGCAACAGTATGCATAGAAGTAACTGCAGATACATAAACGTATATCAGTACATATACCCCCATTCAGTTTTCCCTTAGCCAGATCCGCAAAATATGCATGACCGATCTAATATGACCTGACAAAGAGAAGTGGGGGTCAGTGTGAGGGAGGGGAAGCTGGAGTAGAAGGCAACGGTGATCTGAACTGGTGATGGTTAAAATACCCTATTTTTATAAACATTCACAAAAAGGCACACAGCCCCTGTGAACACATTGCCAGAACCCTTTCCAGTACCTTGGAGAAGCCTGAACAAATGAGGGTCTCGGAATATATTTTTATCACTTGGAATTTTTATTTTTTAATTCTTGAATGAAGTCATTTAGACAGATTTTTGTCGCATGTTACTTTTGTGCATACGTAAAAAGGAGAACATAAAGGAAATAAATTGGTTAAGGCATTTCTAAGGAAATGACAATTACACAATTGTTACCTGGCTAATGGGGATTATAAGACCTTCCTAATTTCAGAGATGTTGAAATGTGAAAAAGAAAAACATGGTAACACACAGACAGTTACCATCTTGCTTAAGAAACAGAACAATTCCCAACAGTGCTGAAGCCATTGTGTATACCCCTCTTTTCTTTCCATCTGGAAAGAACTTCTGACCTGCGTGTTGTGTCATCGTTTCCTTGTTTTTCTCTCCAGTTATTGTAAATATATACAATATGTTGCTTGGTCTTAAAGTTCTCTATAAATGAAACAATATCATATGTATTCTTTGGATGTGCTTTTTCAGCTCAACATTATATGAGATTCATCAATGCTAATGCATATAGTGACTATTCGTTTTCACTGTTGTGTAATATCACACTGTATGTTTATACAACAATTTACCAATTTTCCTGTTGATGGGCATTTGGTCTGTGTTTCTATTAC